AATTTAACCAACAAAAAATTTATCGAAAAATATTTTTTGGATCAACATTTTTTCAATGTTTAGATGAATTTTAAGCAAAATTTATTGCTTAAAATTAGGATCATGATCTAGTTATAATTGGAATGGCCTTATACTTATGAATGAATTTGTAGATACATGTATTTGGGTAACATTTAAAAAAAATATACATATTTAGATACTTCTTAATACACATCAATTTAAACTAGAAAGGTGTTGTAGATACTTTTTGATACCCTTGCGTTCCACCTAGAAAGGAGCTGTAGAAACAATTTTACTTACTAGGTATATCGGTAAGAATGTAGGAATAGCTACTTTTTCACACACAAGTATATTACAAAAAAAGTATAATCTACACACAATATCGCAAACCAAGTATATCAGTTAGTGTGTCATTTTCAAGCGGCCATACCCTGTGTAAAGTAAGCCAGAGTGTGTGTAAGTTTGTAAGCACTTTCGAATACAAAATAAGCAACACAATATCAATGTAGTAAGCTATAAATTTTCTATGGAGAACGTCATTTACGGGCGTGATAGCAAAATAAGAGTTGTTGAAGTACGAACTAGAAACGGTACTATTTTGCGACCTGTTGTAAAATTATGTTTATTACCAACAAATAACCGTAATGATCCGCCTAAAAAATGTAACTAATTAACTTACTAAATTTCCCTTGATCGAGTAAAAAAAAAGATATCTCAATTGCACTCAATATTTATTTATACTGTACCTATTTCTTTTATCTCTTTCTTTTCTAATCTAGATTACCGGGAAACCAAAATGTCATATATGTGGTTTAAATCAGCCTTTGAAGTACTGTCGCAGATTTAAAAAATGGAGTATGGAAATAAAACGACTGACCATTATAAACAAGGGTTATTGCCTTAACTGTCTGGCCTTTGATCACTCACGTAATTGGTGCACTCCACTAGAACAATGTTATTTTGAATACGGTCCCAACAAGTTTTGTAATGCTAAACACCACACAATTTTACATCGTGAAGAACGGTCCCACTTTCTTCCAGTTTTGAGGATGACAACCAACCGGTATGGATTGAAGATACAACATTAAACAATGTTCTTTTTGAGGCCTTGGTAGCAGTTAAGGTCGAAAATACTCCAGTCACCAAGGAACATACTAGAGCCCACAGAATTGAAATTGACTGCGAATCGTCCTCTCCTAGAAACTCCTACCGCAATTGACTCAAATGCTGCTTTTACTCTTCCTGAGACTACGGTAAAACAAGTGCAAACATCAAAGGGTGCTACAAGGTATTAACCGAGCGCGGCTCTCAGACAACTCCAACATCATCACCAAAACCAATCAAAAAACAAGTAAGAAAGTATAGTCGGGCGTGGCCGACCATATGATACCCTACACGAGTTATGAATATTAAATGTGATTTATTTTTCATAATAAAACATTTATCTTCAATATTACCTTGTTCCGATATATTTAAGCAATTTATGGATGAAAAATTAATTTTCTGAAAGAGGCTTTATATGGGGGCTAGGGGTAAATATGGACTAAGCCCGATAAAATTTTGTGAATATATTTATATTTACATAATATTTTATTTTGCTGAATTTCATCGCGATATTTGTGTTTATTTTGTTAATTTTGGACATTCAAGTAGTTTTCTGAAGGGGACTTTGTATGGGAGCTAGGGTCAAATGGGGCCCGATCTTTATGAAATTTGGCAGGGTCATCAGGACTTCTATAAAACTTAGTTGTTCCGCATTTTATCGATATACCTGTATATTTAACATAATTATGAGCTCAGAAGCCCTTTTCGGGGGGTTCTGTTCTATGGGGGCTAGGTGAAATAATGGACCGATTTTAACCATTTTCAATAGGCTTCGTCCTTGGGCCAAAAAAGCATGCCAAATTTCATCCAATTATCTTGAAAATTGCGACCTGTACCTTGCGCACAAGGTTTACATGGACAGCCAGACGGACGGACGGATAGCTTAATCGATTCTAAGCCGATTGGTATACTTTAAGGTGGGTATAGGACGAATATTTTTGTATGTTACAAACATCAGCACAAACCCAATATACCCTTCCCACTAAAGTGGTGTAGGGTATAACAAATTCCGAACCTAATGGAACCAGATTCGATAGACAGTTACGTTACGCTATCGAGAAAAGAGCCTATATGGCTAATTCAACCTCCACTGGTAGGAATAAACATAAACAATCGGGGAGCAAAAATGTATATAACCTTTGTAATTAATCCAAAGGTAGAGGACTCCTATATTCTTGCGGATGTAGCGAGATGGCTACCAGAATGTAAATCTACGACAGATAAGCGAGGAAATCAGTGCGGTCTATTTTTTTTAGAGCAAGCATTTTCCCATAAAGAGTCAGATGAAATTATTGTGAAATCACATATTAATCAATATCTGGATGTAAACATATCGGAGCCCATTAACGACAGTGCGTTCATGATGCATTTTAAGCGATACCATCCACTAGGTCATCTCTTTTACAATACCTGGCGAGATGGAGTACTTGGTAGAGATATCGCCCAGAAAATTCTCTCTAATGAAGTTGAAGTTCCTTTAGATGACGGGCCCTGTGCACAAAAATCCAAATTTGGTTGTATAATCTATGGTCCTTGGAAAGGGTGCATTTGCCATTCGCCCGCGGGAGTATGTTGAAGCGACTTCAACCAATATTATTTTTTGCCGTGTAGCCGTGCCTTGCCGGAGTATATTGATTTTGTCATTCCGTTTGTAACACATCGAAATATTGGTCATAGACTCACAAAAGTATATATATTCCTTATTAAATTCTAAGAATTTGTCATTCCGTTTGTAACACATCGAAATATTGGTCATAGACCCACAAAAGTATATATATTCCTTATTAAATTCTAAGACGATCTAGCCATGTCCGTCCGTCCGTCTGTCTGTTTGTCTGTTGAAAGCACGATAGAGTCCGAACGGAGCGAGATAGAGGATTGAAATTTTCCACAAATATTCTCTATAGGTAAGGTTTGTTTGGTATTGAAAATGGGCAATGTCGGTCCACGTTTTCGGATAGCCCACATACAAGTGGACGACCGAAAAACAACTTTAATTGGAAATCTGTTTCAAAAGTACGAATATAGTGATGAAATTCGACATAAATAAGTTTCATTTGATCCAAAATCTCCCTACCAAATTTTATGAGGATCGGTCCATATAAGGCCCCTTCAGAAAATCGGTTAAACGCTCATTACTGGCTTAAAAATACTAGTATAACAATGAAATTTGACATAAGTAAGTCTCTTATGATCAAAAACTTTTCTACCTAATTTTATGTTGATCGGTCCATAATTGACCCTACCCCCCATATAAGGTCCCCTTCAGAATATGACTTTAACGCTCATTACTGGCTTAAAAATACGAGTATAGTGATGAAATTCGACACACATAAGTTTCAATGATGCAAAAATCTCTCTATCAAACTTTATGTGGATCGGCTCATAATTGACCCCATATAAGGTGCCCTTCAAAAAATTACTTAAACAATAATTACTGGCTTAAAAATACAGAAAAGCGATGAAATTCGACATACATACATATTTTTTATACGAGTTAAAACCTCTCTACCAAATGTATTGAGGATAGGTCCATAAAAAAATTACTTTAACGATCATTGCTGACTTAAAAATAAGTGAACAGTTATGAAATTTTATATAAAAAACATTTATAGGAACATAAATCTTCCTACCCAATTTCATGCGGAAAGTGTCGGAAAGTGATATTCGATGTAAAAAAATTTTGTATGAACCAAAATTGGTATAAAATTTTTTTATGAAAAACGGTCAATTATTAACCCTATCATATAAGGTCCTCATAAGATAATTTGATGAGTAATATCCTTTTAAGGCATATGGTTTGATGGTGGGTATTGTAGGCGTCTACATAATATACTTTATATACTTATACATAAAAAAATTAAATTAAGTTTTCATTTAAATATTAATTTTATAAATCAAATTGAGTTTTCAATATTTTTCATTACAACATAAACTTTTGTATTGTTGAGTTCTTTAAATCGTTTTATAATAAATATTAATTTAATTAAAATATACATATTCACAAATTGTTCTTATAATTATAATTAAAACTAACAATTTGAATCGAAACTAACGTTGAATGAAGAATTAAGTATTTAAATCATTAAAAATCAATTCGAACATTTTGGTCAATGTGGAGTGATTCAAAATCGAATATACTCAAGAACAAAAACTTCTTAATCTACATCTACAAATCCTGCTAAAATATACATATATATATAAATATCAATTCTAATTCATCTAAACGGTTGGAAAACGAAGGAAATTTTATATCAGATCAGATTAGTTCAAACAACAACATTTTAAATAAAATACCAATGTGAAACATCGAGGAAAAGAATTCCTTTATATTAAGTATTTATCTTAAGTTAATCTTAACATCTATTATTCTGCTTATATTAAGTATTTAATTTTTTAATTTTAAATATCCGTTAGATATACCTACATAAGTACACATAATCTGAAATATTAAATAATTAGCTTAAATTAATATCAATTTTAATCTTCATTTTGATTTTTTGTAAACTTCGCCTCCAAAATGACTACACGCTCTCCACCTCGTACAAGTACACACACACAAAGTTCAACAAATTCACAATCTAGTTTAATTACTACAAATACTGTCTTAAATCCAAATACATTTGGTAATCAATCGACTGATAGGAATTCCCAGATAGATTTAGACATATGTGCTGCGACTATTAAACTCCCTCAATTCTGGACAAATTGTCCAGAAGCATGGTTTGTACACGCAGAAATGCAATTTGCAACAAGAGGCATATCTGCAGACCAAACCAAATATGAATATATAATAACAGCTCTTCCTCAAGAAGTTAAATCTCAAGAAGATTTTGATCGAACGTTTCTCTTTAAGCGAAACTTCGAAATTAGATAAAATTTTATCTGATAGTGATATGGGAGATAGAAAGCCATCGGAATATTATAGATCGTTAGCTCTTCTCGCTGGTTCCAATTTTAGTTCAGATGTATTTACCAAACTTTGGCTACGTAAGCTTCCTAAAAGCTTAAATGTGGCATTGACGGGATCAAATATAAGTGATCATAATGAATTAGTTCAACTAGCTGATAGATTATGGGAAGTAATTTACAATGGTGAAATATGTAGTGTCAGACAAGCTTCTAGAAGTTCTAATATAGAACAAATTGTTCAAAACCTAACCTCTTCTTTATGCGAAAATATAAATAAATTAACACTGGAAGTTGGTTCGCTTAAAAAGGAATTGGAAACACGAAAATCACGTCCGTTTTATAGGAGATATAGTAGAAGTAGTTCACGATCTCGTGGTCGTTCACCAAACGGAAACTGGCTTTGTCGTTTTCATTACAGATTTGGTAACCAAGCCAGAAAATGCGAACAACCTTGTTCATTTTCGAATGAAAATTCAACAAACTAAAATCGTCTACTGTTGCCGCGACGAACAGTAGAAATGTTGATTACAATTCAAGTCGCCTTTTTATTTTTGATAAAAATAATAAAATGAAGTTTCTAATCGATAGTGGTGCAGAAATATCTGTGTTACCATCATCAAAATTCAAAAATGATAATGGAAAAGCTGACATTATTTTAAGCGCAGCAAATGGCTCAAACATTGCAACTTTCGGAAAGAAATTGCTTAATGTAGATTTAGGTCTTCGACGAGAATTTCCATTTATTTTCATAATTGCATATTTCAAAACCTATTATTGGTGCCGATTTTCTTTGCATATATGGTCTTTTAATAGACATTAAACATAAGTGCCTAATCGATCCACTTACAAATTTGTCCGTTAATATGTTTTCAAGTTCATGTAATGTATCACTTCCTAAATTATTTTCTGTAGATAATCAATATACACAACTTTTAATAAAGTTTCCTTCACTGATATTAGAACCAGATTATACAAAACCAATAAAACATTCAACAGTTCACAGATTAGTAACAAAAGGACCCTTACCTTTTTCAAAACCCCGTCGTTTAGACCCCGTAAAATATAAAGTAGCGAAAACAGAATTTGAGTATCTTGTAAAAGCAGGTATATGTAGACCGTCTAATTCAAGTGTAGCATCTGCTTTGCATTTCGTTCCTAAGAAAGACCCAAACGAATGGCGTCCGTGCGGTGACTTTAGACGTTTGAATGTAGTAACTTTACCAGACAGATATCCCTTACCTCATATTCACGATTTAAATATGAACATAAAAGATAAAAATATATTTTCTAAAATTGATGAAGAAGATATATTTAAGACGGCAATTACAACTCCATTCGGAATGTTTGAGTTCCAACGTATGCCATTTGGTTTACGAAATTCTGCACAGACATTTCAAAGATTTATAAATGAAGTTTTTACGGGTTTAGATTTCGTGTTTGTATATATCGATGATATTCTTATATATAGTGAAGACAATGAACAACATTTATATCACTTGGAAAAAGTTTTTCAACGATTAGAAGAATATGGGTTGAATATCAAACCGGGGAAGTGAACATTTGGTGTTTCAGATATAGATTTTTTAGGTCACAACATCTCGAATGCTGGTATAAAACCATCTGAAGAGAAAATATTAGATATTCGAAACTTTGAACACCCAAAAACGGTTAAACAAGTTCAGAAATTTGTTGGAATGGTAAATTACTACCATAGATACATTCCTAAATTAGCTGAATTAACTAATCCTATTCATGCTATAATTACCAGTGCATTGAAAAATAAAAATCTGGAATGGACTAAAGATGCTCTTAATTCATTTGATCGCATTAAAGAATCATTTGCATCTCGAGTTTTGTTGAATCATTTCAACAATGAAGCAAATTTAACATTAACTGTAGATGCTTCAAAGGTAGCCATAGGTGGTGTCTTACAACAAGTTCATAAGGGGATTTCAGAGCCCTTAGCATTCTTTTCTAAAAAATTAACTCCTAGTGAAACAAAATATAGTACTTTTGACCGTGAATTATTGGCAATATACTTAAATATAAAACATTTCAGATATTTATTAGAAGGCAGATCATTTACTGTGTACACCGACCATAAACCTTTAGTATTTGCTCTAGATTCAAAAACAGAAAGAAGTCCAAGACAGACACGACACTTAGAATATATTTCGCAATTTACTAGCGACATACGACATATAAAAGGCGATGTTAATGTTGTAGCTGATACTTTATCAAGAACGTTTGAAGTCGAAGCATATAAACATTCAGATCTTAACCTTAGAATATTATATGAAGAACGACTGAAAGATAAAGATCTTTCGGAACTTCTTTCTGATAAAGAGAAACATTTAAATTTGAAATTCCTAAAAATGCTTGTTCTTAATTTGGATATTTGGTGTGAATGTACATTGAATACACTTAGACCTTACGTTCCCTTAAGTTTACGGAAAACAGTATTTGAAAAATTACATAGTATTTCTCATCCCGGTATCAGAGCTACACGTAAATTAATAACTGAACGTTATTTTTGGCCAAAAATGAGCAAAGAACTAAATGTCTGGTCGAAAGAATATCTTAGCTGTCAAAAATCTAAAATAAGTAAACATACTAAATCACCAGTAGTTGAAATAAAAATACCCAAAGGAAGATTCGAACATATACATTTAGACATTGTTGGACCTTTACCAATATCTCAAGGACATAGATACATATTAACCATAATCGACAGATTTACTCGTTGGCCTGAAGCATATCCTTTAAAAGACATCACAGCATCAACTATAGTAGATACATTCATTCGCAATTATATATCTCGTTTTGGTGTACCTTTGAATATAACAACAGATCAAGGCGGACAGTTCACTTCTAAGATGTTTTCTGAATTAACAGACATGTTAGGATGTATTAAAATAACTACTTCACTATATCACCCTCAATCTAATGGCATGATTGAACGATTTCATAGACAACTAAAGGCAACATTGATGGCTAAGGGTGAATCAGCGAATTGGTATAACGAACTTCCGATTGCTCTACTAGGTATTCGTTCAGTATTTAAAGAAGATCTACAAGCTACACCCGCAGAAATGGTTTATGGTGAAAATTTACGGTTACCTGAAGAAATAATAACATCTTCTGAAAATTTTGATGCTTCTGACATTTTGTTCACATTAAAAGATCATTTTAAAAATGTAAGATCTAATATAAGCCATCACTGTAATACTAATACAGGTATCCATGTACCAAAAGGTCTAAAAGATTGCAAATTTGTATTTGTGCGTGTAATTAATAAAAAAAACTTTACAACAACCATACGAGGGACCGTATAGAGTGGTAGAAAAGAACAAAAAGTACTTCAAAGTTGATATAAACAATAAAATAACAATTTTACCTATCGATCGATTGAAACCAGCAGTAACCGAAAACACCAACATTAATTCAAACATTAATACTAGTAATTCTAAACAAACAACAAAAAAAGTTTCTTTTAATTTATTGGAAATACATTTTTTGGAGGGGGAGTAGTTGTAGGCGTCTAAATAATATACTTTATATACTTATACATAAAAAAAATTAAATTAAGTTTTCATTTAAATATTAATTTTATAAATCAAATTGAGTTTTCAATATTTTTCATTACAACATAAACTTTTGTATTGTTGAGTTCTTTAAATCGTTTTATAATAAATATTAATTTAATTAAAATATACATATTCACAAATTGTTCTTATAATTAATACTAACTATAGGCATATGAGATTCGGCACAGCCGAATATAACACTCTCACTTGTTTATATTTGCCTTTTATATTCTTTTTTGTACTCATTATTTTTTGCTGAGTTACATTGAGTTATTTTGTTTTTGTTCTAATATTAATGAAATAATCATCAGATCTCAACCTTTATGGTTCTTAGTTTTAAGAAATAAGTTTAGTTGTTCCTTAACACTCAATAAATAAAGTAGTTAAATAACCCAAAGCAGCAAGAGGCTGTTAATAAATTTAATAGAATTCGAAGCTTTTGTTGTCTATTCTCCCACAAGGGATTTTTGCCTGGGAAAAAGAAGTTCACCACCCTCCTTGAGAATAAATATCACATTCTACATGGTCCATTGAACAGCAATATAGGACCAAGAAAGACAGGCTATACACAAAGCTCTAAAATAATTCATTCCCTAAATCTTCTTTTGAAATTGAGTTATATTTTAAAGAATTAACCATTCTTCAAACCCATTCCCTATGATTTAATTCCTAGAATTAATTCTTAAAGCTTTCGATGTAGATGAATTAATTCTATAATGAATTAATTCCTATAGAATGTTAATTTCCTTCTGAATGAATTAATTTTGATTGCATTCAATCTATTGGTCTTTAAATTCCATCTGAATGATAAAAATTTTGTTTGAATTCAATCTATTACAAATTTAATTTAATAATTTTTCAACCATTCAATTTGGAATAGATTGAATGAATGTTTTGGTTCATAAATCAAAAGCAAGTATATTAAAAATTAAATTAAAATTTGTTTCTTACATTCAATTTGTAATAGAAGGAATTAAATAAATAAGAATGATCATTCAATTGAATTCAATCCTATAAAGAATGAATTCTCTTAGGAATGAATTTAATGGAATATAAAGCCAAGGAATTTATCTTTAATTCGAAGAATGATTTTGAAGAATGGTACATTCTAAAATTTAAAGCCGAATTAAAAATATAAGGGAATTAATTCCAAATAGAAATCATTCTTTCCAAGCCATGTATAGCCACATAAGTTCCGTAGCCAAGGAACGACATCTATATTATATTGAAGTTCCCCCGAAAAAATACCATCAGGGCCGGCGCTATGTATGGATTAAACCTCTTAATTGCTCAGCCATCAATAGATACACGTACTTTCGTACGTATTAAATTTTGAGAGTAGTTAGTTAAATCTCCTAAGGAGATGCAGCCAGGCGAAGCTTATTAACGCTTTTTGATAGTTTACAGGCTCTTTTCGTTGCAACACTGAGAAAACTTACAATCCAGTTTGCGGCTAGATCTATATCACTCCTGCTCCCTATTCTCAGAGCAGAAGAAAGAATGGTGCTTAGAGAAGTATCATGCTTCTCCCAGTTAGTTTTTCTTCTATTCAGAAAAGTCTTGGAAGCTTTAACCTTCAACAACTATGTCAAGTAGCCGTTATCTGAGAAGGAACAGTCTTTGGAGACATTCCACCCCTTGATTAGTTCATTATAGTTAGTACTAATAGCCGCAATATTCAGAACCTCCACTCTTTTTACCTTTAATATTGAAATGTTTTTATAGATAGGGCCTTTTGTTTTTGGGCAATAAAATCGATAATTTTTGTTGGAAGAGTCCAATTTTTGGTGTGGACATTTGTTTTGATGCAATACATTAGAATCAACATTAAAATAAATTTTGAATTTTTGGTTAGTTAGGGCCGTTTGCGTTTCAGGTGACGATATATAAAATTCTAA